TTATTCAGAAAAATAAGCCATCTAACCTATTTTCCCCAGTGGGAAGTGTGTAACTTTTTTCATTGTTGTTGCATCTCTCTAAAATGTTTTAGTTTGGTGGAGTGAAATTTTTAAAAAATCGTCTAAAAACTACCCCAATCTTCAAAACAATTAATCCAATATAATCAATATATATGAATTTTATTGTTATCAAAAAATATATACATAACATAACATCTTTTCACGGAGGGTCACTTAGAATTAGGCTTACAGTCCCTTTAACTTAATTAGGCTTACAGTCCCTTTAACTTAATTTGGTTTTTTTCGTTAGAGTTTTGCACCAAGTGAAAGCATTAGAAATTAGATTTTCATGTCTTTATAAATTAGCTTAAAGGAAGCTGAAAAATCCTAATTATTTATTAATAAATTATTGATATTCAGATTCTTGCATAAAACATCGATAATATTTCATACATTTAGATAAAATATTTTACTTTTTTTAGAACTGGACTTTAATTGAAAATTCCGTAATGGTCCTTTAACCGGAAGTTGAAGGATATTCACCGGAAGTCCCGATTATCAAGTTTTTGCATTTTTATTCCGAATTATTCAACCTTCCCTCTCACTCCCACATAAAGGCTTCAGTTTGAATTCATCAAGTTCACACGAGGAAATAATAATAAACAGGAACAAAACGTTTATATTGTATATAATAATGTAAAATATGTATTTGAACATTTGTAATATGCAAGGTTACCCAGAAAAGATGAGACATAATAGACGACTGTACGGAATTTATACTGTCTGTATCCTTATATTCACAATTCCTGCAACAAAAACGTTGCCAAACGTGAAATTAATCATTAAGAAATTATATGTAAGGCTTAATTTAACCGAGTAATTGTCATATTTAACGAGTTTCAGGTCGTCTTTGCAGGTTCATACTTTTTTGGGTAACCAGTTGTATATGCATACACACACATTTACAGTATTGCACATACAAAAAGTGATACAAGTTATATACCGGAGTAAATCCCTTTTTTTACGTTCTTCTCAGACATTTTAATCAAGAATATTACGATTTTTTTAAAAACTTTGTCTAGCTTTCTTACTGTTTGATAGCTTTGGACCGTTATGATCTGAGGGTCTATTTTTTCAGTTTGAATGTTTGATTGAATATAAGAGTTATTTTATTTTCAAGGGTATAGCTAGCTCGTCTTTATTTGAGCAAATTTTAAGTATAACCTTTGAAATTATCCCAAACAACACTGTGAATATGGCATGATGTATATGACCATATTTAACCAAACTATCAAGAGCCCATAAGCACAAAGTTTAAAGTTCTGCGGAAATAATAAAAAATGCAAAATTATATAGTCTAATAGATATATTCAGAATTCGAAAAATGCATTTTATTATGAATAGATTTAGGCTATTATACACAAAAGTAAATACATTAAAAGTAAATATTTCAAAATAAATATTGGATTTAACAGACGGTATAAAAGTAAGTCTTTTATTTTAGTTAATAAACAATATATGATTAATCGCGAATGGATCAAAAATAGAAGTAATTTCCAAATTTATTCGTCAATTTTAATAATGAATGAATTAATGGATATGCAATAAAATCCAATGTATTTAAATATAAACAAATATCTTAAAATTCAAAGAGGACAAAAATGGGAGACTTCATTTGAAATTTAAACTAGAATAATACCAGAGCTGTAGTTATTCACGTAAAATGTTGTGTAAATCAAAAATGATCTAAACGTCTCATTATATTCCTATGATTAATAGAGCACCAGCTAAAGTATGTAAAAAAATATATATTTACACGTACAACGATACAACTAAAGTTTGAAATCTACTTCTTCTAAAATTAACGACCCTGAATAGAATATTTATATATATGCGAGCTGAAGAGCCCGGCGTTGCCCGTGGAATAATAAAATTGATAAAAATGTTGAAGGATACCCATGAGTTTCTTTTAAAAAAATCAACCAATTTGGTCCAGCCGTTTGGTCAGTTATAATTTACATATAAATATATAAATATGAGCGAAGATTTATTTATACAGTACACACATATATATGTGTGTGACGAGGAAACACGTTGTTAAACATAAAATAACGGGATTCATACTTCCGTCACGAGTTTATCAATGAATCATTTTATCATTCACGTAACTTTACGCAACCAGCTCCATGCGTACACCGAGGTTTTGAGATAAATTATGTAAAATAAATATTTTCAGAGTTTTAAAAAGCTGAAGATCAAACAAAACAAAAATAACTTCTCCATGAGATTATAAATTCGGAAAAAAGATAAAATTGTTTTATTTTACATCTATCAATAGCATATTGCACCATTGGGAGAAGAAGGTTCGTAATCGTTTGTATACTTAATTCATACTTTGCAAGCAGTTTATTGTTATGTAAAATGTATAGGAACAGCTAGATCAGGAACTAGACCTGTATATCAGGGACGGATACAAGAATTTTTTAGGCGGAACATTTTCTGGTTTTTTTTAATGTTCTCGGCCCTAAACTGAAATATTTTAGCTTATAAAAAATAGATTTTGAGCGCATCTTTATTCTATACGTTTATTTTTTATTTATTTTTTATGTATAATGATTTTGCTTGTGTTTCATACGTACCTAGGGATTGATCATGCACTGAATATGTGAGCTATATGCTGATAAGAATAAGACGTGATCAAGTTTTCGGACTGAAACATAGGATAACAAGAGAAAAGGTTGAAAGAGAAGACTTTGATTTCAGGTGCACTAATATGGTATAAATACTCCTCCTTTCTGATACTATGCTTTCAACCCATGCCCATTTCCAATTTCAACTTGTAAGTGTTGCTCTGTGTTTATTGTTGGTTAATAACAAACAAATTTCGCACATTTTTTCCTTAATTCGTAGATTTTGAAATCATATTTTGAAAATCAATTCTTTTTAGGCAAATATCTTTATCCTGCCCGTCCGTAAACCTTCCCGGGGTTATTTGAGGTCCCACCAAAAATTGGGACCCAATCGGTTTAACTGTTTTGGTTTTTATTGGAAATTAACAATTAGTCAGAAAACAGAAATGTATATATGCATGATGAGCTCAACATCTATTTTTCTTAAAGCTTAAATCATGGAAAATTCCAGTTAAGGAAGGAATATAATTATTTTTGGCGCACTTCGCTCAACCCTAGAAAATGTTTCCGTACAAAAAAATCCCGTATCCGCCCCTGCTTAAAATTACGTCCACAGTCCCTTTAAGACGCCTTATAAATGCCATCTAGTTTTATAGAATTGGTTTTGTTTTGGGATTATAATTTAAGAAACAAACATCTTGAGTATTTTATAAATTACTAAATAAAATGGTTATGCTTTGATTTTTCACTGCATGCTCGTTAGGCATTTAATCCTTTAGAAGTAAAAGAATTTATTTTATCACTTTTCAGGAATTTATTTAAAGGGACAGACCGGCTATGTATGATAGTTTAACTGAATATGCAGTGTTGTCGACAAATTCTTTAGGATTCATTTGAGACATAAAAAACTTGTTTAAGATCGTGCTTTTGGGTGGATACGTTTTCAGAACTTTTAATTATTAAATAACGACGACAAAAATGCAAACAAAATTCTACAGTAAACTAATTTGTTGCTTAGGAATATGTTGAGAAAATAAAAATTAACTCGCATCATCGAAAATATGTAATCCTTTTAAATTATTAGTTTCTATAATCTCTCTTTCATCACAAAGATTTTCTGGAATTTTTTATTAAAAAGACGACATTTGAAGAATTTGAGAAAATCTGCGAACAAATTCATAGAAAATATGAAATTCAATATAATGACGAAAAAGAAATTTAATTAATTCTAACTTCAAGTTATTAACAAATTTCTTTTATGAAATATATTCCTGAACATCAAATTTGTTTACTATGGAATTTTACTATATTTTTCGTCGTCGTTATTTAAAAAAAGCCGATTCTGAAAAAGGACCCACCCAAATTCATGATTTTGAACGTCGCTCATACTCAGTAATTATACATCGTGGAAACGTTTTATATGTCTCAAATTAATCCTCCTATAAAAGTATATTTGTCCACAACACTGCATGCTCAGTTTAACTACAGGATGTACCACGAAACATGACAGTTGGTAAATCGTTTTGAATGTCTTCTTCCATATACTGTCTTAGATGTTAAAGACTTTTTGCAGTTTATTTAGTTTTATAAAAAATCTTTTATTCAAAACATATTTTATTTTGAAATCCAATTCGTCACTGAATTCCCATGTTTTTTGGGACACCCTGTATATGACTGCCATGAAATATTTTTCATTATTCTCCTTGGTATCAAACACCTTAACAAAGTATGGAAGAAGACATTTTTAACTATTCACTAACTGTCATGTTACGTGGAACACCCTGTACCTTACATAACAGGTCTGTCCCTTTAAATAGAAAACGACATTTAATCTCATATTTCCAGAATGGGAAAGAGATAATAAACACTCTAATTTTCTACTGAATGGAAACTCTAAGAATGGTAAATTGAATTGAAACACTATCATATTATGATTTCTCATACAAATATTTATTACTTAACAGGTCGTCTTCTTGGGATAATATACTGAATTTTATCTAGGGATAATTGTCAATTTTATGATTCCAACCTAAATTTTCCTGTCCTCAGCAATTGCAGTACAAAAAATACCACTTCGTGCTCTGATGCTTATAAAAAATGCCGAAAGAGTTTTTTTATATTGCCGGAAAGTGCACACAAACAATACTGAATAACTTGATTTTCTTAAAGGAGTTATGTTTTTGCCCAAACTCTGATTTTTTAATCCCTGTATCTTGGCAACCCGATGTCGTAAACCTTTGATATTTCAAACTATAAATTCTCTTAGAACAAATAGTCTAAGTTGAAATATCAAAGGTTATTCCACATCAGGTTGCAAGGATATACGGATTATAAAATTTGAGTTTGTGACAAAAACTCAATTGCTTTTAGGACTCCTCAATTAATGTTCCCAAGAGCAGATTAAGACTCTTGTCCAGGGTTAGAAGGATTCCAACTATTCTTGTTTCTAAAGCAAAGGATCAAGAAGAAGGAGATATTAAGAATACAAAGGAGAAAAGAACAAACCTAGTTAAAGACGCATCGAACAATTATGTTTTGGAAGATCCTGAAACTAGTGAAGATCAAGCAAAAAACGATCAAGATGAAGAAAATAATGATCAAGATCAAGCAAATAATGATCAGAATGAAGAAAATAGCCATAGAATGAGAAGACTTACCTTGCCAGCAAGAACAAGATCAAAAAGGAGAAGATCAAGATTTTCTGCAATATCTCGTTTTGCATCAAACTCACATTTTGGCTCAATCTCAGATCTAGGCTCTATTTCAGACCTTGGCTCAATCTCCGACCTTGGCTCAATCTCCGACCTTGGCTCAATCTCCGACATAGGCTCAATTTCAGACCTTGGCTCAGTATCAGATCTAGGCTCAACTTCAGATTTTGGTTCAATTTCTGATTTTGGTTCAATTTCCGATTTTGGTTCAATTTCCGATTTTGATTCAATTTCCGATTTTGATTCAATTTCCGAGAGTGATTTGACATCAGATCCAGATTCATATTCGCTCTTCAGCCTAAGATCTAAATCCAGATTAAAATCTAAATTAAGACGTGCCTCCAAATCTGTATACTCGTTGTCTAGCATATTTTCAACTCAGTCAGATCCAGAGCAGGACCGGAAATCAATTAAAATATCTGAAATCAGCTTTCCTGAAGAAATGCCATTTAACATGAAAGAAATATTTCCCTTTTAAATGTTCTTCTATTTTATTCTATTTTTAAAAAAATGTGGCCAGCGAGGTTACAAGGTAGCAACTCATTTAGTTTTTATACAATAAACTGTGAGATAGTAACTTACTCAGTTTTTATACAATAAACTGTGAGAAAGTAACTTATTTAGTTTTTATACAATAAACTGTGAGATAGTTACTTATTTAGTTTTTATACAACAAACTGTGAGGTAGTAACTTATTTAGTTTTTATACAATAAACTGTGAGCTGGTAGTAACTCATTTTGTTTTTATACAATAAACTGTGAGATAGTAACTTATTTAGTTTTTATACAATAAACTGTGAGATAGTAACTTATTCAGTTTTTATACAATAAACTGTGAGGTAGTAACTTATTTAGTTTTTATTCAATAAACTGTGAGGTAGTAGTAACTTACTTAGTCTTTATATAATAAACTGTGAGATAGTAACTTATTTAGTTTTTATACAATAAACTATGAGATAGTAACTTATTTAGTTTTTATACAATAAACTGTAAGGTAGTAACTTATTTAGTTTTTATACAACAAACTGTGAGGTAGTAACTTATTTAGTTTTTTACAATAAACTGTGAGGTAGTAACTCATTTTGTTTTTATACAATAAACTGTGAGATAGTAACTTATTTAGTTTTTATACAATAAACTGTGAGGTAGTAACTTATTTAAACTGTGAGGTAGTAACTTACTTAGTTTTTATACAATAAACTGTGAGATAGTAACTTATTTAGTTTTTATACAATAAACTGTGAGATAGTAACTTACTTAGTCTTTACACAATAAACTGTGAGATAGTAACTTATTTAGTTTTTATACAATAAACTGTGTGGTAGTAACTTATTTAGTTTTTATACAATAAACTGTGAGATAGTAACTTATTTAGTTTTTATACAATAAACTGTGAGGTAGTAACTTACTTAGTCTTTATACAATAAACTGTGAGATAGTAACTTATTTAGTTTTTATACAACAAACTGTGGGGTAGTAACTTACTTAGTCTTTATACAATAAACTGTGAGGTAGTAACTCATTTAGTTTTTATACAATAAAGACTTAAAAAAAAACGCTCCACAAAAATCCAACAATTGAAAACGGTGATCTGAACAATTAAGTTTGCTTTTATTGCACAGTACAAAATTGATATTCTAAGGTTAATCCAATAAACATAATGCTATGATTTAATAAAACATAAAATAAGTTTACAGATGCGGGGAAACAAGAATTAAGTCTGAACGAACATATGCATTATGCAATTGTGAATGTGCAGTTGTCTTTTAAGTCTTTTTTGATGAGTAACAACTTCGTACTCTTGCATGCAAAATTTAACTTTGCACTGCCAGGCAAAGTAATGGAACACAAAATCGGTAAAAAATTGTTGTTCAATAAAACAGCAATAGTTTTAAACAAAAATCTTTTGGAAACAACGATCGTTCAGAAATAAACGAATGGAATATTTTTCTGTTCATTTGTAAAAAACCAAAGTGTTTTCCCTTCTCTAAACAATCCAAGTCGTTCTTAAATTTGCTTTCTTTTCTGAACGAAACTTTCTATCACGAAAAATTTGGATCAAAAAAGTTGTTCGTTCACAAAAACGATGCCCATCATTCTGGAAAAAACCCGCGATATTTTAAAGAATAAAAGTGAATCAATAAACAATAGTGTTGACCCTGAAAGATGAAAGAACTATGCAAACAATAAAATGAAGCATGGATCGAACGATAAATGTTTAAGTACTCGAACTTTGTTACATCAAACTTTTCCGTTCTACAGAATACAGGGGTTATAAAGTACAAAGCAGCCGATGTTATATTAGATTATCTCCAACCATTAACGCCAAAATGGACACATAATACTCAAAAAATTAAATTAAATTAGCCTTATTCAATTTTTCAAAATGATTTATTATTCTAAAATGTTCTGATTAGTCACTAAAATTGTAATTTAGACCCATGACGATCTAATATGCTGTGAATATATGTAGAATTTATGGCGATAGTGGTGAATATATGTAGAATATATGGCGATAGTGGTGAATATATGTAGAATAAATGACGATAGTGGTGAACTGAATATATGTAGAATTTATGGCGATAGTAGCATACAAAGTGTAAAAGAGTATATGGTGTAGTAGAATACAGTGTGTAACAGAATATATGGTGTAGTAGAATAGTGTGTAACAGAATATATGGTGTAGTAGAATAGTGTGTAACAGAATATATGGTATAGTAGAATAGTGTGTAACAGAATATATGGTGTAGTAGAATACAGTGTGTAACAGAGTATATGGTGAAGTAGAATACAGTGTGTAACAGAATATATGGTGTAGTAGAATAGTGTGTAACAGAATATACGGTGTAGTAGAATACAGTTTGTAACAAAATATATGGTATAGTAGAAGTGTGTAACAGAATATATGGTTTAGTAGAATACAGTGTGTAACAGAATATATGGTGTAGTATATTATATACAGTGTAGATATATGGGATCACATAAGATCTCCCTACTGAGTAAGGATTCTATATCATCAGTTTCTTCGTTTTTTTGAAGAAGATTTAAGAATAGTTTTTTTGGTATCATTCAGGAATTGCATCGTGCATACCTTTTCTGGGTCGTTTTTAAATATTATAGGTGTCACGAGTTTGGAAAAAGGCCAGACAACGACAAGAATTTTAAATTGTAATTTCTACATATTTTTGCTCTTGCACTGATCGACAATATAAGGGCAGAACTAAAAATGAAAACAATAACAATAAAAGCAGACTAAAAGAGAAAACAATTGTGAAATTCTTGCGAGTGTAAAAATTTAATGTTTAAAAACGACCGAAATTCAATTTATATCTGTCTTATTTTTTTGTGACTTAAAATGTTCCTAGAATTTAGGGGAAAGTTTTGACTTTTGATAAATTCAGACGGGCAGATGTATCTTTTTTCTTCTTAAAGGGACTGTAATATCAACTGATCCTCCCTGGCAATTCCTCTTCACAACAGTACCTTTAAAAGCCTAGTTTGATCATTATAAATCATGTATCCATGTTTTTGTTTTCAAAAACAGATTTTTTTCATTTCTAGCTTCTCTGAAAAGTGATTTGTTAATTACTTGATTCAGAAACAATGGAGAAATTAGAAGAATTAAATCTTCCACATGTTTGATCAGATTAAGGATTCAAGGGTACGTTGTGAATCTGGAATGCCTTTTTTTAACGGATGGTGACTTTAGATTAGGCCCACAATCCATTAAAGAGATATTTTTTACATTATTTTTCTGGACCCCTGAGAATTTCCTGCACATTTAAAATTTCTCCCCTTTACCTGAAGCACGAGTAGCACCAATTACACTTACACGTTTGTATACTTTTTTACTTATGTGAAATCCATGCCACATGTTTGTTTTCAGAGAGGTACCCCTTCAGCATTGATTTCCTTGCTTGGAACTTCATTCTCACAATTTTTAACCCATTGTTCCCGAACTAGATATTCGCAAATCAATTTTTATGAGAGCCCAAAATTAAAAATATACAATTTAATAACATGGATCTCATCAAGGTTATAATGCAAGGAAAGCTAATTGCAGTTGCTTACTCTCTGCATTCATATTGAAACCAGTTATTTCTTGGCGGATTTGTAAACAAGAATAGATGCATCAGTGTTTGTTTAGAATCCGAGGATGTTAAAAGCATTAAATTCTTATAATTTTGATAATTAACATTAAAGTTTCCTTTAACCAGAATATTTCATTGAATTTTATGTGAAAGACGGTTCCCATGTTAGACTTCAACATCAGTCTTGTGTTTACATTACCACCCAGAGACAGTACCAAAGATGGGTACACCTCTAAAATAACTATCCTTTGATCTCATAAGGTTATCTATTTATAGAACCCCAATCTGAAGTCAGGGTAAAATTTTACAATTAAATGGTCTAGCTCAATGCACACGGAGTTCAAATTTTGAATAGGAATTATTAAGCTTTGAAAAATGATTTTTCAACCGAAAACAGACATATTTATGAAATAGATCATTGTTTATACATAAACATTTATTTTAAATATTTTGAATCCATAAATTCATTGAGATTCGCAGCTGATTCATCTTTTTCACACTAAATTTATTAACCAATTTATATTGTATAATCCTATTCTTTATCATTTTAGAAACCAATTATTTTTGACTTAAACCTTCAAAAACTGGCATCTGTTCTCTCCTCCTTAAAGTTAAAAAGCTCAAAAAGAATTTAAAATCATTTTATATTGAAGTAAATGATCAATCAACAAAGAGTTCTATCTGAAGAACTCCCTCAAATGACAGAACTCGCATTAAAAATCCGCAACAATATATTAAAAAGTGCACACAATTTCCATGTTGGTACATTAGCGGTTTCCGATCTAAATTCCGTTGTGCAAGATTAAGGAACAATTACGCACAAGTAAAATCGATTTGCATGGAAATCCAACTCACAATGCTTATTGAATAATCATTAACATCAGTTTTTATCATTGCATTTCAATACATTTTTGAATCTTGTACAGTGAAACCCTTAATAAAGAATACATCGAAAGAATTCATCAAATGTCGTATTCTTCACTTTCTGATAATGGAATGTTGCAGATATTTAGTTTTTTTAATTAAATGATTATATGGAACTCTTTAAAACTGTTTTCTCATATTCATTGCTATTCAATTATTTTCGCAAATACTGAAACTTACGTAATATAGTATAAAATTTATTGAAAAATTGTCAAGACGACATTTGATAAATTCTTCCGATGTATTCGTTAAGGGTTTCATTGTAACTTAAGAATTTAAAAATTTATATTAAAGTTCACTTGCCAGTGCCACCAAACTAAGTAATTAAAACTAAGACAATTAAATGGTTAATAATACAAAAAAGAAAATATTAAAGACATCCCAAACTTCTGATGCTTTTCTGGTTTCTCTACTACAAAAAAAAACTAAAATGGCTGTTTTACAAAATTTATTTAAATTTCAACTAGAAAATGTCTGAAAGAATCCTTTTAACAAAAGCACAAGGCTTTGTTACTGACTTACCATTTAATAAGGATACAAACAGAACGTGAACTAAAAAAGTGTGTTTGAAGGACAGGGTAAAAGGGGGGAGTGTGCACCCCCCTCCAGGGTCGAGGGAGTCCGGAGTGCTAGAAAAAATAAGCTCTTTTCCGTGTTACAATCTTGTCCCGCACAACACAAGAACAGGTTTAACAAAATTGTCCTGTTTCTTGCAGTTCGGCCGGGCAGAAACAAGGACGAATATAGAGTATTCATCGTCTGATGACTTCCTCTCATTAGTCGTCGTTTCGAGATAAATCGGCCAGACCAAACTGTGGATTCCTCAAGCGGGTTTACCCCGTCCAAACTTGTTTGAAAACAGTACAAAATACAAGTTAAAAATTTTCAGATATTGAAAGTTGATTTAAATTTTAAACAATGCAATACTGAAGTAGAATAGGAATAAAGGGTACAGGGAGATGAGCAGAATGTACATAGTGTGCAGCAATATGTACAGAAGAGGTCACATGAGCTTAAAAGATCAGGCAACCAGATACATCAGCAATCGTCTCGTCCTAACAACAAAGATTTTTAGTGCATCAAGGAAATCTTTCTTCACAAATACAAGTTAAGTAATTTAAAAAATCATTTCTTTTTCTAAAAACATTCATTATCAATGACAAGGAATTTCTAATTAGGAATTAATTTTTTATTAATGAAAATGCTGCTTTCAAGTGATTATATTACTGTTGTAGCTGAGCTGCTCACAGGTGAATATATTACCTTAGGTGAGCTACTTAGCCTGCTTCCAGGTGAATATATTACCATTGTAGGTTGAGCTGCTTAGGCTGCTACCAGATAAATATATAACATTAGTATTTAAGCTGCTTAGGCTGCTCCCAGGTGAATATATTACCTTAGGTAGTTTAGCTGCTTTGGTGCTGCTTCGAGGAGAATGAATTACCTTAGTAGTTAAGCTGCTCACAAGAGAATATATTACCTTAGTAGTTGAGCTGCTTAGGCTGCTCCCAGGTGAATATATCTCGACCGAAATGTCCATATGAAGCTGTCTCTTGGAAGATCGGAGTCTTCAGCTTCAAGTCCCTGAATATTCAAAGTTGAAAAACAATTTTTCTATAGTATCAAAAATCTTTCCCCCTGAGCATGAGGAGTGTAATTCTTAAAAATATATACCCCTGTAAATGTAGTTCAATAACAATAATTTCTATGAATGTTTCTTTAATCCTTGTGCCTCAAAATAGTTTAAAATGTTTCCTTAGTATTTGGGATTTAGCAAGATGGTCTTAAAACCTCATTAATGGAAAGTTAGACCGAGATTGAAGAGATAATTTCAAGTAACTAGTACAGAATGGCATGTCTGATTCACAACAGTAAGGAAAATATATCAAACTACTGAAAAAATGTAGAACTCAAGATTTAGGAGTTCCTCATTTTATTCCTTAAAAATTAACAATCTAGTTCATGTGCACATTGCACAAATTGAAGATTTTAGATGTAAGAATGGAAAATTTCTTACTTGACAATTCTACCAGGGCGAAGGTCAAAGTTTTTCTTCACAATTTCAGTCAGCTCCTGAAAATTCAATCTTATAAATATTGAAATAAAAGAAACAAAAAATCATTTTTTCAATCCATCATTTCTTTAATCCATCATTTCTTCAATCCATCATTTCTTTAATCCATCATTTCTTTAATCAATCATTTTTTCAATCAAACATTTATTAAATCTGTTCTTTGTTCAATCAATCATTCGTTCAATCAATCATTTGTTCAATCAATCATTTCTTAAATTAATCATTTCCTAAATCCATCATTTCTTCTATTAAACATTGCTTAAAGATGTTTTATAGACAGATGACTTAATACCTTAGAGGACTTGGATCCTGATCCGTAGTCAAAAACTGTAATACTTAGAGGATCAGGTAGACCAATAGCATAGGATACCTAGAATCAATAAAATACATTATTTGAGAAGGAGGCAAAAAAAGAAAATAATTTGAAATATTTTCTCTCAAAACTGCTTGGTCACAAAGTCTAGAAATGTTGAGAAAAGAAAAGAAAAACAGTTTTCAAAAATAAACATACCCCCCCCCCCTCCAATTTAACAAAAATCATTTCTATCTCTCTTAAATAGAAATAAATTTCTTCGTAAATAAAATTTCTTTTCAGATAAAAGTTGCTTTTTACCTGGACAAGGCAACGACGACAAAGACCAGCTTTAACAAGAGACTTAGCGACCCATCTAGCAGCATAGGCAGCAGACCTATCAACCTAGATATTCAACATTAAAATAGATAGAAATAGAAATAATTCATATCTTATTGGATTGCCTCCATAATTTGTTTAAATACATGATGGTGTAACTGCAATCATTCATTTTTAAAGTTTTAATCTTAAAATTTATAGTTTCTAGCTCTGTTTTGCGTTAAAAATAATGAGAGCTGTTAAACAAAAATTTGCATCTGTGGATGTCATAAAACTATTCGAATAACAAAATTTAGATTCTTTAGAGAATGTTCCTACACTTATTGGCTTAGATTGTGATTTGAAATAAGATTTAAAGGGACTGTAAGCGTAATTTTAAGTGATACTCCAAGCAAAGATGGCAATTGATTCATAATGGTACCCTTACAAGACTTGGCTGTTCAAGTATGAATATAATGCCAAAGTTTTGTTTCTTCTATTTTCATTAGCAGGTTCTCTACCATAGACTTGAACATTTCTTACTTAAAAATGCAATGGAGAAATTATCTGAAAGAAATACTTGACATAAAATAAAGGTTTTAAGGGTATTGTCATCAATTGGGCATTGTCAGTTCCATGTTTTAGTTTACTTTTTAAGAACTTATTGAACTTATTTGCTTACAAGAAAACTGAGTTTTAATTTGTTTCATAGATTAGACATATATTAAGAATAAAAATTCTAGTCTCCAGAAGTTGAATCTGTATCTGTAACAATGGATCTACCTTGGTATAATCCTTGCCAGAGAAAGCTCCACCTCCATGAGCTCCCCATCCACCATATGTGTCAACAATAATCTAAATATTTTTTATATGTAAATTTGTTAAGGAACCATGTTCACTCTTCAACTGCATGAAAATACATGTATTCTAGTTATTATGAGAGATATTTCATTGGGATTACAAGTTATACTATTAATCAAATCAATTTTAAAGTACAGCTAGAATAAAATTAAATCGGGGAGACCTCCCTCTGAAGTTATTATTATAAAATTTTTGTTCATAATGACCTTTCTGCCAGTAAGTCCAGCATCTCCCATTGGTCCTCCAATCACAAAGTTACCACAGGGGTTAATATGGAACACAGTCTCCTCATCTGATTAAAATTTTGAAATTTTAATTATTTAACATCAGTTGTCAAATATTTATTGTATTGGTTTAAGGGGCTACTTTAAAACTTAAGGGCTAATTATCTTTTATTAGCAAAATCAGCCTTAGAGCATAAATTGAATGAGAATTTGATTGTATTTTTCCCCTAAATTTTAAACTTACCCAAGTACTTCTTGGGGATAGTAGTGTTGATAACTTTTTCCATAATATCCTGTCTGAGGGCTTCCAGAGATACCTAATTTGTAATAATATTTGATAAGAAGTAGAAGAACTATGGTTGTCTTTGCTCTTTCTCTCAATTAGCACATTGCTCATTGCAATTTTTAATTTAACCCCAGTCATCTAACATTGGACCTAAACATTTCAGATATTTTTCAGTAAAAAATTAGTTGACAGCATTTCTAATTAAAAGAAAGAGCAAAGACAACAATCATTCCACTTTATATAGGAATCGCTGTTTGATGTGATCTAAAGAAACTTTAACCCTAAAATTTGAGTAAGAATAATTATTGTACTTGGTTACCCACAGAGGATGAGAATTCAGAAACGATTGTACAGAATTTATTAAGACTTATTTTTCAACGATCAAGTTACCGTTCATTATTACTCTTTATTATTTCTTTCCAATATCATTCTGTAGATCCTTAGAAGATCATTTTTAAATTAGAAGACCAAATTGTAATATCTAAGGAGTTTTAGGTTGTCATTAAAGTCTCATCCTTTGTGGGTAACCCTGCATGTATAATGAATATTTATTTAATGAAAAGGAAGCTGTGAAAACATTGATATTTTGTTATTCAAATCACCAAATACATTTGTTATCTTTAAACAAATAACATTAATAATTTTTACCTTCTCTGAGTGCTGGACAGAAACAACAATAGTGTGTACTCTGATAGGTATACATGCTCCATTCTCAAAGCGGTATTCTGCAGTAACCTAAACAATACCAGTTCACAGCTTTTGTGCTTCTAACATTGGATGTTGGACAAGTCTTAAAACCAGGGGTGTATATTTGAAATAATTACCCACCTAAACAAACTTAAAAAAAAAGATTTTCAAAAGGGGGGCAAGGGGGAGGGGAATATTTTCCAAGAAAATATATACCCCTGCTGAAAACTGTCCGTACAATAGCCAGTGAGAAAAAAGAAATTTAGGATGAAATGTATGAAATTTCAGTACCACATTTGATGATTTGATCATACCATTAGGAGAGAATGCATTAATAAAAGAAAAACAAATTCCTAAAACCTGTGTTTTGCTGTCAGGTCTTGCCCACCACAGAGAACCATCTCTTCGCAGATCAGAAATTTTCTTGTTCAACTAGGATAATTATTTCAATATTATTGAACTTAGAAGTTGCTAGCTTTTGAAATTAAACTCTTTCATTTGATAATTTGACATGTCAGATTTTAGTAACTTTTGTTGTTACCATAAACGTATAAACGTTTCTGACAATTTTTTTTGTAGTCATTGCAACTTTCATTTAACATAACACATTATGCAGAAAAATGACAATTCTAACCTGGTGTGCAAGTACTACTGTTAGTGGCATACACTCTTCAGTTTCATCCGTAGCATATCCAAACATTAGACCCTTAAATAATCAAGAATGCTGTAATTCTCAACAAGGTAGGAATATTACTCTGAAGTAAAAAAGAATACATAGCACAACACTTTCCAAATATGTTTGAATTCTTAGCATTAACAATTTAATTACCCTGGGAAAAAAATGTCTGAAAAATGTTTTTAAGTATATTCACAAAATTAGATTCAGAGCTGCTCACAGTCCATGTTCATAATACGTGAAGCCCAGGCAAGATAAGGAAAAATTTACTGCACTTCATTTTATTCATAAATAAATCTTCAAAATGCTTTATATTCAAATTTTCTCAAGAAGCTTGAAGATAAGGCATCAATTTATTCCCATATATAACTGATATAATTGTATAATCAGGGTTATTGCATCCATCAAAATCTAATATTGAGTTAGTTATTTCCCAACTAGCATTGGTAGTTATAATAGTTAACTATTTAACTTCTGTTATAGTCCCATATTAAAGCATTTCTTTGAACATGCATAAATTATATTATAGGACACATAGGACAACATTCACATTAACTACGATACCCATCATTACCTGTGTGTCTTTATGGAATAAAGTTTGATCTTTTATAGAAGTCCAACAAAGAATTAAGGTCATTGTGATTATTTAATTCTATTATAATAAATACATATACTATTTCTAATAGCATATGACTTTCAAGAGATTCAGTCTCATTTAGTCTTAGTTTAGTATCGGTTGACTCTTTATATTTTAATCCAGTTGGTAAAGTATTTATTTTCTCTCTTCTGCAAGCTTTCTCTTTGCCTACCTGGTCCCCAGCTCCTACATTATCATCTGATCTATCCTCTGCTAGATGAACACCCTGAGCAATATCTGGGCTCTGCTCCTCCAAGGCCACCATCAGGTTGCAGGTTTTGTAGTCGAATCCTAAACACACATGCACATTTTCCCAAAACTTAGTTAATACAAACTACTACATATACTGATATTAGTGATCTTAAGCATGTTATTGTGATTCATTTAAACCCATGAATCATTGAGTGTTATGATATGATCAAAACATTTCAGATCCCAGTATTTATTAGTCAATACAATGTATTCCCAATCTATGCTAAACCTTAAACTACAGCTACAGTAGACAGAGTATTCACAACCAAAAATCTGATCAACTAAAATCTTCATTGCACATTGGAGAACATCAGGACAGCCCCTTCAAACACATCTTTCAGACAACCTTCTTATACCTGGTCCCCTGCTCCTACATCCTCTTCCTCCTTGAGCACATGAACCCCACCAGCAATATCAGGACTTTGTTGTTCGATAGCAATCATTAAATTGCATGTCTTATAATCAAATCCTAGCACACATTTTTAATTATAACTAAAGAAAAAAGTTTTAAACAAAACAGCTTTTAAAAAAACCCAATGACCTGGATAAAGTTCACATAGTCATAATAATATGAAAGGTCTAGTTTTAACTGAAAAACAGATTAACCCTCTACTAAAATAAAACCAGTTTACTAACTATTACATTTTTTCAACAAAATATGGTTATTGTCGTAATATTTTCAAAGCAAGGTCCTTAAATATATGAAGAAACTACAACATATTTTTTAACATATCAAAAACCTTAACACAGGATTTTTCAACTTCCTTTGCCCCATCTTAAGCACTTTGTGCTGAAACCTTTATTCTTTAGGCTAAAACAGTGTGCTAGGATGAATTTTATAATCTTTCAAGATACAAAATTTTCAAATAAACCTTAATTAGTTGTGTACCATGCACTGCTCAAATCATAATCTGCTTAACATTACTTAAATTAACCAATTACAGTTCATCATCCGGAAGATACAACAATGAATTTAGAATATTTCATCTTCTCTAAGAGTCAGCAAAATATATCCCAAGAATATTCCAGGCAACCATGCAATTATAATTATTTCCCCATGCATTTTCCATTTTCCCCACCTGATCTCCTGCCCCTGTATCATCTTCATCTTTATCAATGTGAACCCCCCCAGCTATGTCGGGGCTCTGCTCTTCCAAAGCTATCAATAAGTTCAGGGTTTTGAAGTCAAATCCTGAACATTAAAGATGTTTAAATAGAAGTAAGCAAAACTAAGATATAATAAACAGATGAAGATTTTTTTTCAGAATTCTAGATCCCAAAATCATGATGTCTGCAAGGTAATTTTATATTTCATGTTTCATTTCAGTTACTCAACAAATCGTTCCCCCTAGTCCCTTTTTAGCAGTGTAAGCACTAAAATATTTCAATAGAAATGGCAGAAAACGAGCAACCAATAAACCTCTGATATGTTTATTGAACCTCCAATACTATTGTGGCAAACAAATCATCATATCATTGTAATATCTGCTGTTTGAACCAAACAGCTCTGAGCTCAGATGTTAATTAAAACATTTTTTTTATCATTTGCAATTTATTTTATGAAATAAAATTACAAATCTATTATCATTCTGTTTTTTTATACTCTCATCATTAGCCAGCACCAAACTATATACTTTTCAATGAAATTTCAAATAAGAAATTGTAACAATCAGAGCATTATCAGGTCAAAGGTCACACATCTGTAAAGTGTATGAGCAATAAGGGAGGGGGGGCTCATTTAAACGTTTTTTTTTCTACATCTCAATATTGTCAACTGGTATTGGGTGGGTACAAATTGACCCCCCCCAGCATATCCTGGTTTTCAAGTACCCCAGCAGAGATAGGGTTAAATAAAAGGCTTCCGTTGCCACCATTTAGCTTTGAACTTCCTTCTTTAATACAGTAAAAGTTGTCCGCTAAAAATTGAGACTTTTTTCAACACCTTATTAAACAGCAAATCCACCAATTAAAAAAAAACTACCATGATCAGCCACCTGTGCCCATTGACGTACAGTCTTTGTCCGAACCTGATATTTTTCAAACTATTTTTTTCAAATTTTCAAATTTTTTCAGAAATATTCACTGAGGAACAGAAATGTTAATATTTTTTCATACAATGCATAGTTTAAGGGATAGGGACAGCGGCACAAATCACTGCTTCGTCAACATGGGATTTTAAAATGGCCAATATCAACCGCTCTGGAATATGGCAAAGTTTATAATTTTCTATTAAAAGTAAATGTATCTAATATCTATAGTTAAACATTGTGAAGAGCTTTATTTGTAGTTTGTAGTTCAAATATCTTGACACATGAATGCCTAAAAGAGGGGGTGGGGCCAATTACTCATTACCCAATTACTCAGCCTCCCTCCCCTTGATTAGTGAAATCTTGGGGATCCCCTGTGGACAAATTCCTGTTTACACCCCTTTTAGAATTATATCTTCTATAACTAGGTTTCATTAAATTACACGTTATTCAATTAAAAGATTTACAATACAGAAATTATGTTTCCCTCCCATTCCTACCTTCCCACCCCACCCTTCCTTTCCCATCCCTGCAGTTTGAGCAGTTTATATTATTCTGTTGATTGGGGAAGCTGTCATTTTGCCTTATTGTCATGTCCCTCACATGTGCGAAAAGGTCAAAAACGATCACTCAAAAAAAAGCTGCCAAAATTATACGTGGAACAGCATAGAGCTAAGGTATGTTTCCATTATAGAGCTAAGGTATATTAACTGTTTCCAGTATAGAGCTAAGGTATGTTTACTGTTTCCAGTATAGAGCTAAGGTATATTAACTGTTTCCATTACAGAGCTAAGGTATGTTTACTGTTTCCAGTATAGAGCTAAGGTATATTAACTGTTTCCATTACAGAGCTAAGGTATGTTTACTGTTTCCAGTATAGAGCTAAGGTATATTTAATGTTTCCAGTAAGAGCTAATGTATGTTTACTGTTTTTAGAATAGAGCCAAGGTATATTAACTGTTTCCAGTATAGAGCTAAGGTATGTTTGTTACCAGTATAGAGCTACGGTATGTTTCCAGTATTGAGCTAAGGTATGTTTCCAGCATAGAGCTAAGGTATGTTTCCAGTATAGAGCCTAGGTATGTTTCCAGTATAGAGCTAAGGTATATTAACTGTTTCCAGTATAGAGCTAAGGTATGTTTACTGTTTCCAGTATAAAGCTAAGGTATGTTTACTGTTTCCAGTATAAAGCTAAGGTATGTTCACTGTTTCCAGTATAGAGCTAAGGTATGTTTACTGTTTCCAGTATAGAGCTAAGGAATGTTCACTGTTTCTAGTATAGAGCTAAGGTATGTTTACTGTTTCCAGTATAGAGCTAAGGTATGTTTACTTTTTCCAGTATAGAGCTAAGGTATGTTTACGGTTTCTAGTATAGAGCTTAGGTATTTTCACTGTTTCCAGTATAGAGCTAAGGTATTTACTCTTTCCAGTATAGAGCTAAGGTATGTTCACTATTTCCAGTATAGAGCTAAGGTATGTTTACTGCTTCCAGTATAGAGCTAAGGTATGTTTACTGTTTTCAGTATAGAGCAAAGGTATGTTTACAGTTTCTAGTATTGAGCTAAGGTATGTTTACTGTTTCCAGTATACAGCTAAGGTATGTTTACTGATTAAATATAAAGCTAAGGTATGTTTACTGTTTCCAGTATAAAGCTAAGGTATGGTTTAATTCAATTTTATTTCACTTTAAGAAGTTTAAAGAATAATTTTTCTAGAATGATCCACCCCAGCCTACAGGGTGGACATTTTTCGAGGTGTCTGCTGAGTTCCAGAGACAGGGGGTGCACAGTAAACATTGGGGGGCAAAAATATGATTCTCAAAAATAAAATACACCCCTTAAATTCATACAGAAACTAAGAAATGATGAAATATTGAAAGTAGCCGGTTACTTTAATTTCAACTGAAAGAGGGAGGACACCCCCCCCCACAAGTTGAGATGATACTGTCCAGATATATTATCTGAAATGGTCTAATTGATCACACAAAAAAAAAATTAACATTCTACATTGGTTAGAAGTACTTGCGCCAAAAATGTTGAAAAATGATTGCGCAGTTCAAGAACACATTTGGCGCACACCCTTCCAGTCAAGATAGGGTTTTAATTTTTTTGGTGCGTATTCTAGACATGCTTATCTCTATAATAACTGATATGCATGTTGATAACCAAATTAGGGATGGGCATATTACAATTTTTGTGAAAAAACGAAAAAAGGTGAAATTTTAATCAATTGGCACATTCTGAAAAAAAATTTAAAGAATTTAAAAAAAAATATTTTTGAAAATTTTACAAAATTATGCAACTTTCTGGCGACCTTGCATCTCTGTACCAAAAGTGACCCTAAAAATGAACATCCCTAACAGACGGTTAATGGTAGTCATGGACATGGAGTAAGGAGAAACGGGGATATTTATGTCCCCAAGATTTTAGGGGGGGGGGGGGTACTTAACCCCAATAACCCTCCCTATATCTGCCACTAACCCTCCCTATATATGCCACTAACCCTCCCTATATATGCCATTAGTATTGTCAATCTAAACAAAGTTTTTGTAAACTTTTAATTGCCATGTAAAAAATCAAAAATGTCAATGGATAGTGAGGACAAAAAGAAGATTTATTCAAAATAAGTGGTTATGTATATCTTAAGATGCGTCAGAAGCTGCTGATATCTAGAAAATTGTTGATCAAAGACAAAAAAACGGATTTTTTTATTTTGACTAATTTCAGGATTAAATTCAGATTTTGCCTTTAACATGTTCACATTATAATCAATTTTGATGATTTCAACCTTTTTGAATTCAGTGTTGCAACAAAGATTTTTGATATCCAGTTTGGTGTGTTTTGAGAAAACAAAACAAATTTTCTCTTGCATTAGTGAATTTTTTCACTTAGTTTCCACAAGGCAATTTTGATTTGAAGCAAAAAACTTCTTTTCTGAATGTTTCTTGTTTATATAAGTTCATTCATATTCCAAATGACAGAAGTGCAATTGTTAAAATCAGCCATCCTTGAGGATCAAAGTGTTATTTACTTTATTATGTGTGTTTTCTTCTATGTTTGTATAAGTTTTAGATCTGATAAAGAGACAGATAGATAGATAGATAAACAGACAGACAGATAGACAGACAGATAAATAGATAGAGAAACAGATACACATACACATATAGATAAACAGAGAGACAGATAGGATAAATAAACAGATAGATAAAAAGATAGATAAACTGACATGCAGATAAATATACAGATGGATTGAAAGATAGCTAGACATATAGCTAGACATAGAGCTAGACAGATAGCTAGACAGATAGCTAGACATATTCTCAAATAAACAGACAGACAGATAGACAGATAAATAGACAGAGAAACAGATAGACACATACACATATAGATTAACAGAGAGACAGATAGGATATATGAACAGATAGATAAACTGACATGCAGATAGATATACAGATGGATTGACAGATAGCTAGACATAGAGCTAGACAGATAGCTAGACAGATAGCTAGACATATTCTCAAATAAACACTTCTGGAACATATTCTCAAATGTACACTTCTGGGACTTATCTCGAAAATTATGAATGAATTTTGATTGTCAATTGAAACATTAATCAATCTAATATTATTTAGAATGCAGAAAATAAGTTAAACTAACTTCATTTTGACGAGAAATTTTTTTTCATGAAAAATGAGTGAAAATTAAAAAGCGGTTTATTTCCAGGATAAAACTACGTACAATCCGTACAATTTGAAACAAAAAATCCGTACAATTTGTACAATATTAGGGTTACAATAAAAAATCCGTACATTTTGGCCACCCTACATATCCATTAATAATGTACCATTTTACAATTTTTAATCACCATGATTTAATTGGAACCAAATAAAATATTGTTTTCTACATTCTATCTTCATATTTTAACAATCCTTTAAATTCAATGCGTAATTCTTTTAAGTGAAACACTAAATTTTGAGTTATGACATAATATGTCTTAAATATCCAGCATATTTAATTTTAACTTGTGGTTTCATTGTTTCTATTTCTACACTTCCAGCAGATTTAACTTACACTCTTTGATCCTCTAGTATTTAAGATGTTCATACAAAAATAAGATCTTATTGAATTGTGTACTCTTCAAACAACTCCAAAATTGTTAAACAAACTGATTCTATTATCATTGAAAGCAAGGACAATAAATCCAATTCTGATCCTAGTACCAGAAGCACAAGTTTTCAACAATGCAAAACCATAATGCACATTGGTCAATTGGTCACTGGATAAAATTATTTCATAATGGAAAATATTTTAAAATTAGGCTTCATCAAATACAGATTTGTTAAATTTGCTGATATATTGTGGAATGGATCCGGATGCATTTCAAAATTAAATCAATTAATAGTTTAATAGCAGATAAAATATTTAGAGCTAGATCCGGATCCAAATCGAATTAGTAAAGGAGGAACCTACCTTTAGAAGAGTCATCATAACCAATGTGTTTAACAGTATTTCTCACAACCTTCAGAAAGCAAATTGAAATAAAAATTTAAATAATTACTTTTTGAAATAACCAAGGGTTATCCATATCCGTTCTTCCAATATCATTTCAGAATTTTATAGCTGAAGTAAATTTTTCTGGGGAAAATACTCTGGTAGAAAATATTAAAAATTAAAAATTAAAATTAATATGTATGTTTTCCCAAAAGTATCAAAATATTGAATGAAATGGGAGATGTTCTAAAAAATACATTGCCCTATTGGAACTCCTAGTCCAGTTAATAAAAAAAGGTCAGATGATTTCTGGTTCCTTCTGATAATCAACATTAGCCTTGCTTGTGATTTCTCCACATACCTGAACAAAGATTTTATTAATTAGACAAAAATTGGCATATGAAAAAAGTTAAAATTATACTTAGAAAAGACCAACATGCTTCCTGTAAAAAAATTCTTTTCCAGTTCAATGTTATTTACAGACAAAAACAAGATATCATTTGATATGCTGTGAATACTTTAAATTATAGGTTAGTACCATGAACTTAAAACTTTGAATAGCTCTCTAGTGCCATAACCCATCAAGTACATAAACCATGGGTACTGGAACAGGATAAGGTAGTCATACAATTCTAGTGATTCTAGCTTCAGTCCGCTCCCTACGTCATAACCCGGTACAGTACACAGAGAATAGGGCATGGGCCTTAGAACTGACTTGGGATAAGGTCTTTTGTATGTGAGTATATGCATCATTGTGATTTGCATTTCTTTGGTTGACCGGCAATTCTCCACTATTAATGTTTGTCAGTGAAGTCACCATGTACTGCGTACCATATTAACCTTTCATTTGTGCGCAAGCTTCATTGCGATACCTTATTGACTATCTTGCATAAAACTGTACACTAAGATCTTGAATTGTACACTAAGATCTCTAATTGTACACCAAGATCTTGAACTGTACAGTAAGTTTTTGAACCGTAAACTAATATATTTTAAGATCTTGAACTGCAAACTAAGATCTTGAATTGTACACAAAGATCTTGAACTGTACACTTAGATCTTAACCTGTACAGTAAGAGCTTGAACTGTACAGTAAGATTTTGAACTGTACACTAAGATCTTAAACTGTACACTAAGATCTTAAACTGTACAGTAAGATTTTGAACTGTACAAAAAGATCTTGAACTGTACACTAAGATCTTAAATTGTACAGCAAGATCTTGAACTGAAAACTAAGATCTTGAACTGTACACTAAGATCTTGAACTATGCACTAGTACCTTTAACTGTGCTCTAGCACATTGGACTGTTCACTATTTCCCTGAAATGTACACAAGTACAATGAACTGTACACTAGTACCTTGAAAAGTGCAGTGTGACAGTACCTTGAATGTACATTAAACTGTGCAGTAGCACATTGAACACTGTACACAAGTATTTTGAACTGTAAACTAGTACCTTGATCTGTACACTAGTACCTTGAACTGTACACTAATACCATGAACTGTATACTAATACCTTGAACTGTACACAAGAACTATGAACTGTACACAAGAACTATGAACTGTACACAAGTGCCTTGAACTGTGCACCAGTACCTATTTCCTATTGAACTGTACAGAAGTACCTTGAACAGTACACTAGTATCTTGAACCTTGAACTTTAAACTAGGACCTTGAACTGTACAGAAGTACCTTAAACTTTACACTAGTAACCTAAACTGTACACTAATACCTTGAACTGTACAAAAGTATAATGAACTGTACACCATTTATTTGAACTTTACACTAGCACCTTGAGCTGAACCCTAGTACCATTAACTGTACACTAGTACATTGAACTGTACAATAGTACCTTTAACTGTACACTAATACCTTGAACTGTACACTAGTACCTTGAACTGTACACTAGTATGATAAATTATATACTTGAACCTTAAACTGTACACTTGTACCCTGAACTGTTTGCTAGTACCTAGAACTGTGCACTAGCACCTTAAACTTTACACTAATGCCTTGAACTGTACACCAGTATCTTGGCCTGTATACTAGTACCTTGAACTGTACATTAGTACCCTAAACAGTACTTTTAAAGATTAGATACAAAATTTTAAAAACACCCGGTGTAAATGAGTTTCATCCAGTGCTTAGGATCCATTTGAGTTTGATGCAGATGCGGATCCGAAACCTAGATCCGCACTGGAAAAAAATGGATCCGGATCCAGGTCATTTCTTTAAGATTTACTGAATTTTTGTTAACAAAAAATAATACCCAATTTTTCCCCTTATTTACATCCTGAAACTTTAAAATTTTTATAATCTAGTTTTTTTCAAAAGTTCAGATTTGATTTGGATCCGGATCCAGGGAGCCCAAATCTTGCGGATCCAATGGATCCAGATCCTAAGCACTGGTTTCATCAATAGATACTTTAAATTTTGCTTATGTGATGACCATCGACATGAATCAAAAAATTTTTCGTGAAGCAACAATCCCCTCACCATAATCATTCCAGTTTTGGTGACAGTCTCGCAAGCAACTTTAGCATCAGGATCTTGCTTGAGGTGGGCATCCAGAATTGCGTCAGAAATCTGATCGCACATCTTATCTAAATTAAACTTATTAAAAATGAAAATATATCATTACAAATTTTTTTTTTGGGTTAATATGAAATTCATAATGTTAAATTGTGGTTTCTATACAATTTTTATTTCTGGATTTACAGTTGATCCTACACCATGTGTAAGACCTCTCATAGGGCCTTGAGAAAGCTGTATCCTGAAATGCTAAGTCAGACCAAACATGAACTGGAGGGTAATAAGCAACAGATGAAGATTAAATAAAAAGTCCTGAAGCATTCGAGCAGTATTTTATACATCAATCCGGCTTTTTACTGAACTTACTACTGGAGCCATCATGGAAAATCTCTATGGAGCATGGATAAGGGTTAAATCCCCAGCTGTACTTGCAGTTCAGATCTAGTGGGGAATAATGATTAATACTAATTTTGCAAATACATCGGAAAGATGTATAAAACCAGAGGAAACAGTGATTTTCTGCAAGAAGATCTCTCGATACGCCTCAAAAACTTCCTAAACCTCCAATCTTATCCTACTTCACAAGCAGATAAAGTGGAACTCAAGAAACCCCAATACGGTGGAATCTTAATAAAAACTTTCTGAGAGGGATCAGCATTTTCACATGGGAGTACGTGTCCTGGGGGCCGGGGGGTGCTACTAAGTCAACTTAAACCTAGCTGAATGCAGTATGAGACTATAGAGATCTCAAACTTTTATTTCAAAAATTACTCCAGAGCCCGCGATTTAAAAGCTTCGGCTCGAGTCTTAATTCCTTAAACGCAGCTTTAAGACCCAATCTTCGACCCAACTCTGACGACAGCTTGTGTCACGTGATTGACAGCTGCGAGATCTTAGGCTCGACTTAAGGAGTTAGGATGATATGCATTAAGCCATAGTTGAAATATTTTCTATTTGTGGAAGTCATTAGAGGTCATTAAAATTCAATTTGATTTTATTTTAGGAATATCGATCACTAATTAGTCGTGCAGCCAAAAAATTGGAAGATTTGAACCAAAAATGAAGACAAGGCCCTCCCCCTACATCAAATGTGCCATCTCCACCATCCCCTTTTGATTTCAAGAAAAGATTTTTAAAAATTTGCCAGGGGGAAATATAAATATCATAAGCTGATATTACAATATCTAAGTGGAAAATTATTTTGCAAGTTATTGTTTAATCACTAACTCAACAAGTGTGTTCTACTTTCTTCACATCTACTAATATTAGAGAGAAAGCTGGAAAAGCTTGTGCTTAAAATATCCTCACCCTAATATAGAAGCAAACAGTAGCCAGTTAAATAGTTAAATAGAGTAACCACCCCCCCCCCCCCCCCC